GGAGAAGAACACCCGGCTGATTCGCCAGAAGCGTAGTGGCCGTCTGTGAGGTGCCATGTCCATTGGTGGCTTCACTGGTCACCACCTCCCAAAGATTTCCTGCCATGGTCGCCGCATTGAAGGGTATTGCATGCTGCGGTACCTGTAGTTGGCCCACGATCTCCTCCATGGCCTCGTCCAGCAAGCGACCCAGGTGACGAAGGACTCTTTGTCTGTCCAACAGTCGTCTCAACAGGTCCTGTAGGTCTGCCTGGGTAGCCATCGTAGTTTCCACGACAACCGCCTCCCGAACAAGCTCAGCTGGCCATTGTGGTGCTCCAACATGGTCACCCACCGGCGTCCCAGTAACGCTAGAGGTAGTCGTGGAAGTAGAGGTACCCAGGAGCCAAGTCACCCCAGGTAACTGCACCCACATAACCAGGTCCTCCTCATCAGGCACGACTTCAAACCCTGTGCCATAGTCCTCCACCAGATCCACACCTTCAAACTCACCCATGTTGTCTTCGACTACGGCCGAAGCTGAGCATGTGGATGGACACGACAGGGAGGGCAAAGAGCTGGGGGACGCCGAAGAGCTCGATGAGGTCGAAGACATAGTACACGTGCTGGAGGTCATCGTACCTGTAGTGGAGCTCGTCCTCATCATCCACGTCGTTGTTATCCCACTGCCGTGAGAGGTCGTCATTGTCGTCCCCGTTGTGGACTCCGTAGTCCCCGAAGACCTATCACCACCAAACGCGCTGTCAGGGTTGGACAAGTCATCCAGAGGCGGGTCCCTCCAGATCCCCGGTAATTGGGACGGGTCCACTGGTGCAGCAGCAGCATCCACATCACCATCACCCTCCTCCTCCTCTTCGCCTTCGGACCTGGCTTGTTGCGAACTGGGTGGTCCAGAGCCAAATTCTGAGGAGGGCGACCTTCTGACCGTGGCTTCACGGGCTGGTGATCTACTGCGGGGTCTCCTCTCACCTGATGAAGTGGCAGGTTCGTACGGCGGCGCGGTGTTGAAACCAATGGGGATGGTGCCGGTGGGGTCGACCTCCTGTGGTTGAAGCGGGGCTCCCAAGTTGACCTCCATCACCCTCTGCAACAGTGGCATAAACTGACGTGCCCAATTGAGCCACCGAATCCTCGTTAGTTCTTCTCCTGGAATTCTCTGGATCGGGATGTAGCCACGAGGTCGTAGACGGCGTTGTAGGATCCCTAAGATCGAGTCAAGGGTGTGGACGACATCCTCCAGGCGCGCAATGAATCTGGCGAGTGCCCAGCGGGACTCCGGTCCTGTGCCGTCTATTTGGTGGTCATCCAGCTGGTGCAACATTTCTTCAAGCCTGTTGAGACTCTCCTCATTCGTCCCCGCCTCCTGCAGGAAAGCTCTCTCGCTGTTGGTGAGTTGCATCATCCAGTTGACCTCCCCCTCATAGGTGGCAACATTCGGGAAGAGTCCAAATCCAGGTACCCCATGTGGTCCTCCCGCTGTATCACCGCCCCCCGGCACGGCCTCGTTCAACTCCTCAAGTTCCTCCTCAAGGTTCGGCTCTACTGTTGTCGAAGACGTAGTAGAAGACGAAGAGGTCAGCCACAGATCACCCATCATCCAGGCGTGTCCCAAGTGTTCCGGGTACATGTTGGTAGTCGTAAGTGTTGTTGTTGTCGACCAATTCCACACCCATGCCACATACATCCCGGAGTCGGCTTGGCCCGTTACTGAGCACCAGGTCGAGGTCACTGTGGTGTTGGACACATTGGTATTGTCCTCCTCATTGTGGCTCCAGTTCCATGCGGGCTGCTGCGTGTCTTGCCAGGCCGACCAATTGCCCCCGTTGCCGGTTGCATCACTGTGGTCCTGCCATCCTTGCTGCCATCCATACGACCACTGGCCACTCCATGAGTCACCCTCTGCCGTGTGGTCTGACGTCCATTGCCAGGAACTCGAGCTTGTCCATCCCTTCCATCCCCACCCATGGTCATTCCATGCCACCAGTGAAGAAGCCGAGGAGGTTTAGGGTTTAGGGTTTAGGGTTTTGAGGGAGGCACGGCCTCCTGCAAAGCCTGAGCCTCTGGCGTGGTAAACCTATGCCGTGGTGACCAGCGAGCGACAGCCATTGCGCGTGCGCAGGTCAGCCGAAACCCCTAATAAACCCTCACCGGTGCTTCCAACGATTCCGACGTGCGTTTCGGCACCAGTCCCTTAAGGAAGCCCTTGCTCAAAGCTGTACGAGTCTATATCTCGAGCTGCGAACTTGCAGCTCCGAGGATGCAAGAAATTGTGCAAGCTGAGCTCGAGACGAACAGTGAATCAGACCCCCCAACCCCTGTCACTGAAGATTGCTTCAAAAGCCACCTGTCCCACATACTACCGATGACCTGTCACCTCAACCCTAAACCCTAAACCCGAGCGGTGTGGTATACCTCGATGCTGTCGCAGATCTCTTCGACAAAGTTGGAAGCCATTCTTAATCATTCCACGTCTCTAACTATGGGCCAGCAACATGCACATTGAGAGGCCTGTCTCAAGGCACATTCTGGGCTTATAGTCATGTTATATTTTCCTACCTGACTAGCTATCTGGCTCTATGCGCTGCGCTTGCTGCTGACAGTGTATTCCGGTCGTGCAGTTAGTCTAGCTTCAGCTGTCAAGCTGCAGCACTGGTCATGGACGACTCCGGAACTTGAGACGGACAGAATGCTCGCACTGTGTACTCGAAATGAAGGTCAAACGGGATTTGCGAGAACCAGCTGCGTTGCGGGTAGCTCGGGCGACATCAAAAGCACCACACGCTAATTACACAGGCGTCCATCTTGTACTACATTGCCTTTGTAGGAACCCCACTTTGAAGGCCTATGTATACTGCGACATGGACCTTGAGGGTTTGTTGTACTTCAACTCTCGCAACTTCCGGCCTTCAAATCATGGGCCAAGCCCACGGGCCCTACTGGAGGTTTAGGGTTTAGGGGTTTGGGGTTTAGCGTTTGATATAACTCTGAAGGGACCTGATACCCTAAGCCAAACCGTGAGACCTGAACCCTGAACTCCACCCATAGGCTCCATAATAGTTCATTCTTGGGATTACCTTATAGGATAAACCACAAGAAGGAACTGCTGTGGAGCCTATATGGGTAAATCCTTTAAGTCCTAAACCCCCAACCCTAAGCGCCCCAGCAAATCACAAAAGACATTTATATGCCCCGAACTCTGAGATCCATGCATCGTGACTTTGGGCGAGCCCGCCGTCCCTTTAAAACACCTTTGGGTTTAGGTTTCAGGCTTTAGGGTTTCTTGTTTTATTAGGTCTGAGGGTGTAGCCTTCCTTCGTTTTGCCTGTTTCAGGGCTTAAAGTCTAAAGGATGAGTCCTCAACTCTCTACACCTGATACGACATATCTTCTTTATGTTGCTTGACAAATCTACCAAAACCTGTCGAAACCCGAAACACCCCAGGAAAACGATTTCAATAGGCAGGACCTCACACAGCCGTGGAGCCCGAAGAGCCCTAGAATGGCTGCCTGGGGAAAATCTGCTCCGCGGCGGAGCAGAAGCGCCGTGCGAGGTCTAAACGGACTGCCACGTCCGAGTCGGAGTGCTGCCTCCAAAGTTTGTTACCTAGGGGCTGAGTACCCCAGCCCAAACAAAGGTTAACCGAATTAGAGTAGGATTATAAGAGCCCCAAAAGGCTAAAGGTTACCTACTCAGCCACTAAGGTTAAGTTTTCAGTATAAGTTGCGGTAAGGGCTGCTAGCTTTCTATGCTAACTGGTGTTCTAGAGTTTGGGGTCTAACGGGGTCTTGGGCTTTCAGTGCTGCCTTCGTTTGATTCTCGGAATGCTTGGAGGGTTTGGGGCTGCCTTTGCGGGTCTTGGGGTTAAGACTGCTGCCATTTTGGGCGGTCTTGCAGTCTTATAAGGGTTTTATTTTGGGGCTTAGGGTTTAGGGTTTTAGGGTCTTAGGGGTTAGGGTTTTAGGGTTTAGGGTTTAGGTGGTAGGGTTTCCCAGGGTGTGAACGTTTACGAAGAGACTCCAGATGACTCAGTAGTTTCGGCTCTTGTGTGCAGGCGCATGCTTAGCACAACCCTTCCAGCATAGATGTCATACAGCAATATAAACAACCGAACAAAACCAAACATAAATAGCTAAACACACAAGCACACATACACACGCACACATACATACAAGTACATACCTACGTACCTACATTCCATGCCTACGTACCTACATACCTGCCTACCTACATATATAGGGAAATCCACCCCACTCACCAAGTCATGACTTCAAGCAGAGGTGTTAGAGTTATGGGTTCTTCTTTTGGTGTTTGTTGTGAGTGAAAGTTGGGCAGCAAATCATGAACGCCTCAGATGCTTCCGCTCCGGGCAACCTGGCGGCGATTTGGATTTCGGGCCTTCCGGTATGTTATGGCCCCTGAACCATCCTGAACCCTAAACCCCAATTTCCGGTACGTATGTTATGGCCCCTAAATCCTAAACCCCACTTAGGCTTTCGAGGGCTCTGGAAGCGTTGGGGGCCCAGGATCCGATTCTCAGGACCCTCTTTAGTGTCTTGCGGTCTGTGTGTGTGGTTGACAATCGGTTTCTGCTAGCGGCTCCGGACAAAGCCGAAAGAAGGGGCCCGTTGCTTGCAGATTCCTAAGGGTCCAAGTACCCAACAATCATATACTCTTCCAAACAGTAACCTACATAACTATTATCCCCTAAACCCTAAACCCTAAACCCGAAACCTAAGTACGTGATTATTGGGTCCTTTAATTTGGACCCTTGGGGGATTCTTGGTCGGCACCGTGTGCCTGTAGAGTCTCACCAGCAACTCCTCCTTCTGCAAAACCTCCGCAGTCCTCGAAGGGTCAAATGCGTCAAGGGCAGCTTGTGACGGGCCTTCTACATATATATATATATATATATACATATATATATATATATATACATATATATATATATATATTACATTGTCCTTGATTCAGAACTCCTTTCGC